TTTGGGAAAGCAAGGCTATGTGAAATTCAGTGGAAAACGTCAGCTCAACTCATATGATTGTGGGAAAATTGTTCTTCTACCAGTTCTTCATCACCTCACACGAAATTGGGTGAATACATCTCATATTACTGATTTACTGGTAGACACGAAAAACAATACTTAATTCTAAAAATAAATCTTATCTACCGTTCCAGCGGGACTTGAGCCAAGACAGTACAGCGTCTCTAAAACCTACTTACAGACTTGGCGTTCTTGTGGAAAGGTTAGGTGGAATAAATTTGTAAATCAGTCGTACTGAAAGCCTAAGCAATACCAGACAGATGCGATGGTTGATTTGTGGGAAGAAATCCTAGACAGGTACCGTCCTGCGACTCTGATAAATCAGTGCTGAGCTTAGGCCTGCTTCGGTGTGGCAGACATCGCCAGAGAGGGAAGCCATTCTTAAACCAAAAGGGGCCCAAGACTAAGCCAAGAAAGATTTGGTGGAATGAAAACTCGAATTACACGAAATCATTGAGAGATTTTTCGAAATTCACCTATTTCTAACACACAATAAACTCTGATTTACCCTTAAACTAGTTTCATTGTGCAAACCTTGCATTCCCAAAAGCCGGCATAGTTTCGCAAAGAGTATGGGTATATGCTTCAAATCTGATACATTCCAAATAAGCTTATCAAATAATTGGCATTACTAATTAGATAATACAGCCTGGAAGAAGGAAATAAATGCATAAGAACAGGGAATACAGTGAAAATATAGAAAAAAATATATAAATGGTACACGAAAAAGAGTAGAAAAGCAGAGAAGCACACAAGGCTTTAATCGCTTGTTCACCTGAATGGCGTCAATGGCCCCGTCTATGGGCGATAGATCAGTCTCCAAAGTCTCCACGACCTCAAGTCGGCGTCGAAGGTGGGGAAACGAGGCTTCCGTGGTAAGAATGGTACGGCGCTTCCATTGCTCAGTCAGACAACTGGCATGCTTTGGCCCAGGCGCAGTTAGACAGGCCTCTGTCGTGAGGCCTTTCCGATGGGGCAAAAGTGGCCGAAAAATGGCAGGAATGATAAGATATGAGAGAGGATAAAAGTGAGGCCATAATTGGAAGGCAACAGGCTCCAAAAGAGCAGCCATCCGATTGTGGCACAGACAGTGGCTGTCAACGCTGCTCAGAGTGATTTGCACCGAAATTCCAAGCAACTTTTAAAGAGAACTGGCGAAAGTAGGAGAAAAATGGTACCAATGACAGGCTGATGCAGCTAGAGCCTCATGTGATGGGAGCGAATAACAGTGGAATCTTGTTTCACTCACACTCCAACCGAAAGCCTGAGGCTCAGATACATAAATGCAATTAGTGACAAATTTGTTCTCAATCTAATGTGAAGGCTGGTTGCTGTCGACGTAAATCAGTTTCGGCGGTTTTTTGTTGTTTCTGCCGAGATCAATTCAAGCGAATGCATGATCTTTACACCCAATAAAAGGTGGAACGCAGTTTTGATCGGAGGTCTAAACCTATCCTCTCTCTCCCTCTCGAAGATGGGCGAATCTGTCCTTCAGCATTAGGCCAAGCAAAATAGGTTATAACGACAGAATGCCGTCCAGAGTGGTCAGACCCTTCGACCTTAGCCTAAACCTAGGCTGGGGTTCCACGAATCCTCGAAACTCATACCAAAGTTCCGTGGTAGTCCATTCAACAAGAGGGCATAATTACTCGGACCTACACTCTTCGCGGATATGCGGACCAAGATGATGTGGCCTCTATTCTGATCGCAATCTCCTTTCGGTGTAG